ATGCATTTTTCTGATGCAGCAAGAACGTTGAGGGTCTTCAGCTTTAGAGTCTTGAACTCTTCTTTTTCTTGGCTAAAACTTCCCGTTCTTTCTTAAGCCCTTCCAGTAAAGAGTTGTACTCGGCCAGTTGGGGGGAACATGTCGCAGCCTTCCTAGTGACTTCCACAAGTTTGCTTTTATTCTTTCGACTAGCGGTGTCACGATGGGAAACTTTCACTCTAATGGAAGCCATTCCGTGACACGAGAGAGCTAAGGCCTAAAATTGAAAAATGGAACTCAAGAAACAAACACGGTAATAAAGCGTAAAAGAAAGTAAAATCAGAGAAGAGCTCGTGAGATGTTGAGGGGTTGATACTACGAATATGTTTCTCCAAATCACTGGAAAAAACAGGACAAAGCTTATCTGCAAGAGACAAAACGTTACCCCACTCAGATCGGTTAGAAAATGGGTAACTTCAACAGTAGGGATGGAAGGGGTTCCAAAAACCTCGAAAGAGGCCTCCCTGGCATTAGATAGTCCAGCAACAAAGCATATGTTGTTAATCAAAGGGGAGTGAGACTGGACCTCGTCGAGTTCCTTAACGGATATACCAGGACTGTCTCCTGGGACTTCGACGGGCTTCGACCAGACTCACCTCCTCCGTGACCTCTAGGAAATGGAACAATGACTTCGGGAGGGGCGGGAAGAATAGGCTCTGTTTGAAGGACTGAAGTTGCCGCAGGTAGAGGCTGCGTGGGAGACGGAGCATTGAGATTGACTTCGAGGCGCGTTCTTTTTCTCCTCAAAAGCTGTTCTTTCATGCCCTCACTCTGCAAGGAATCTTTAGTGGAAACCTCGTTCATTCCCATTTTGACAAGAGGAGAAACAGATCTTCGTTTGAGAATTCTCTTCGGAGCAGATGGCTTTGGCAAAGGAGGTTGATGTTGTTCGAGCTCCATAGACCTAATTTCGGATACGGACTGGGGCTGTGCAATACTAGTACCTCTTTACCTTTCTTCCAAAGGAGAAGAATTTGTGGATACTTCTTCTCCCGCCGTCGAGCCAGTTGAACCCATTCCCAAAGGGACTTCACGACGACGACAACTGTTGAAGCTGGATGGTCGAGGGTTCATTTCTTCTGTACAACCATTGAAACCCGATTAGAAAAATTTCAGTAAGAAACAAGAAAGAAAAGTAATAGGGGAATTCAACCTTCCGTAAGTTTGACTGCAAGACCGCAGTTCCTCAAGTTCTGATTATATAGGAGGTCGGGGACTATAGCTATCCATAGCTGAGAGAACTGCACAGCCAGCTAGAACCGACCTGGTCACTTTAGTCAGCTCTAGTGTAGGATCAATCAGGGTTGCAAAAACAAGGAATTGGTTATTACAAGCGCACCAGTAAAAACAAAATATATATGAAGAACTTTTGAAAAAAAAAAAGCTTACTCAATCTATCGAATTCCATGGGAACCTCACAATAAGGGGCCCCTTCATTGGTCATCATTATCCAATTCCCCGAAACATAGAGCCACCTTTGTTTCCAATTTTTTATAGAGGTGAGATCGTTCACAATCGAAGAAAAACCTTTCTCCATCACTAACCCATTGACCAATTTCGCGACTCCGGGGAAGCAACTTAAATAGAATCGGCCAGGGGCTTTGGAAGACTTTTTGATGGTATGAATGACAAGCATTTGTTCGTGCAGGTTCTATCTTCGCAAAATCTCCACCCTAGGTACCAGAAGCCCATCAATGTGCCCCACCCGTTGGGTGCTAATTGGGCAGGTGCTAAATTGACAGCATTAAGAAAAAACTGGACGAAAGGATGCAAGGGTAACCTAACGCCATATTCGAACATTTGAGGGTAAAAGTTGACACAACCTACTGGAGGTTTGTCTATCGTTTCACCCGCCGCGGGGATTCTTAACCAATATTGTTCGGGATGAAATAGTTATATCTAAGTATCCCAAGCAACTCCTCAGGACAATTCGAATATGAATAGTCAGAACAGTCGCCACTAATTTATGATGATTCACTTCGCTTGCGCCGACGGAATTTTCTACTTTTAGTTGGAGGGTTTTCTAAAGAAGTTTGAGAAGTTGAAGTCCTATGAGAACTAGCATCAAAAGACTTGGTCCTAGCCATCTACCAAACTTAAAAGGCATGAAGGAAAATTAGTATTGAGTGCAAGAATTACCTAGTGCAAAGCGAAAAAACAGGGCAATTAACTTCGCAAATTCGTGATAGTCGGAATCCTCTGCCCTAGCTATCCAACGAAGTCCTCAGAGTTACGAAAATTGAGTAAAACTCGCGTTAAAACATTATAAATACGTAACGGACAACGACGTTAGTTCAGAAGAGTGGGGGAAAAGACGAGTTCGGATCTGTACTCGTGTAAGATGAATTGATCACTACTTCAAGAATTTCAAATTAAGATCCTTGAATTTTCTTGAAGTAGAGGGCTATTGTTTGGCCCTTGAGTTTTAAGACACGTCACAACTCAAGTAAACCAGAAGGAAAAAAGTACTTAGTGAGGGCTACTTGTGAAGGATACTAGTTCCGGCTAAAACCAAATTGGGTGCCCGATATCAACCGCCTCCCCCACTAAGCGCACGACTTCCCTACTTTTGTGGAATTGGAACTATTTCCTTCAAACGAGGATCCTTACCTCTCCAACAGTTACTTTTCTCATTCCTTATAAATATCAATTGAAACTAAAGTATCTGGTACGCAAAAAAAAATGATCAAAACTCAAATTTTAATTAGTTACTTAACATAAAAGACTAACAAGATGGTTGGAATGCTAACTTGTTTTTGTAGGTTTATTTATCTTGGAATGTTCTCGAAGATCTATTGTAACTATCGATAATTTTTCGATAAGAACAGGGGCAGCCCCGTCACACCCATGGACACCACTAAGGAGTAAGGAGGTGACAACTTTTTCTCATCATGTTTGTACACCCGCACATATATACTTGACGTGGGACATTGTATCAAAAAAAAAAAAAAAAAACTTGGCGTGGGACACTTGTGTGTTTAAATTTTACTTAATATAGTTACTAGTTGCATTTGATTTTTAATTTAGATTTTTTCTTCATTTTTTATTTTTCTTGCATACTATTGTCTCTTATTTAAAAGTTTCAATCTAATCTTCTTTAATTAAAAATATGATTTTTTATAATTATCAATGGTTTTATAACGAGTCTTTGACCACTAAAAAGGTCACCACCATCCTTCGATTCTCATTCATCAAATTATCTCTCTTATGGTCACCATTGTGAACTATAATGTCAATTATGGCTTCTAGGAAAATCAAATGCTCATATATCAGCATTATGGATCTATGAGTTGTGGATCTTTTTTATGGTAATAATATAGGTATTTGGACCCAAAATTATCTCAAATAAATTGGGGAAAAAAATCTCCCCGAGAAGATTTTGTGCTAGAGTATATTTTTGAATCAAGACTTACAAATTTTAGTAGGAAAAATTAGAAAGGTCGGATAGGATAGAGGCAAAATGGAAACTAACAAGATTGCACTAAAGCATATAGAAAAACCAGTTAGTCAAATAATTATCTCAATTAATTAGAGCTAGCCTTGCACGAGCAATATTTTTAATGTTGGGAAATTAACGGTCCTCTATAATTTCCTCTTCTACAGAAAATGTCCAAACACAACCACAATATACAAATAAGGAAGAAAACTACTGTGTTATATTAGTTCACCACTACGTCTAGTCTTCCACTCAGATGTGGGTAATTTACCAATAATGTTAAAGATTGGTTAGAACAACTCTCACAGAAATATCTCTAGAGGTCCCAACAAAAGCCGCATAGCTTCTAAGTATTTTAACACAATTAATACTTAGGTACATTAATGAAAAAACTTACAAGAATCAAGATTTAATTACCCCGAATATATTGATCTTGATTAGTCATAGTGCCTTTGCCAATACCAGAGCCTCTCCTTTCAAACTGCCACTAAAACCTCTGAAAATTAGATGAAACGGCTCCATTTTCGATTGGGAAAATACTAAAATGCGAAACTGCGAATATATAGCCATCGACATAGAGCCATGGCACAATGGATGGAAAACCGTCTGCGCGCGCACAATAGGACAGTGCCCTGCAACAGCACCGTGGCGCTGCACTCTTGGCCATTATTCTGGCTTGCAGCGTCCGCTTTCCCCTATTTTCATCCCCACTTCGATCCCGACATGTCCTGGCTTGATCCCGACTCATTCCTAGCTCGTTCCGACGTCGTTTTTTTTGCTCCACCAATCCCAACATTTAACACTATTGAATTAGATAATCCAAAAAATAATTGTAGATGATAGCGGGGTTAAGTTAGGGAATTTTAATTAGAGCAGAAACAATTTTGTGAAACAAGGAAAGAAAAAGTAAGAATCAATTAGGAAAGGAAATTCAAGTGATTAAGGAAAATGTTGAAAAAAGTCTAAAGTTATCTTATCTCTGGAGATTTTGATATTTTTTTCCTTTTATCTCTCGCAAACTTATTAAACTCAAATTTACCATTTTTAAGGTTAAAAAACACATTTGATTATTGTACTTTCAAAAGTAAGGATTTAGCCCATAAACTTATTAGACTTAATTATTTCAAAGACCTATAGTACATACAACATTGAAAGTTTGTGAACCTAATAGCTAGATACTTGTTTAAATTTTGTGGGACTTATTAAACGCAACCTAAGAGTTCGTGAATCAAACTTGTAATTTACCTTTTTATTCAAATATTACCATTATATCTTTTTGATCAATGAAAACTTGAAACCTACCAAATTAGACCTTGCTAATTCACCTCGAGACTAAAAAAAAGTATATATGTGTATAATCACACTATAAATCTCAAATTATCTCTTTATCTTTTATTGTAGTAAAATAAATATATGATGTGAGGACTTGAACCTCCCATTTTAAATCCGAGTAGATATACTTTTTGCCACAAAGCTATGCTATATTTATGTTGGCTCTTACGTAGACAATAACAAAAAAATAAAGCCATAATTAACAAGGAGTACATTCTTGTTCATCAATAGTAATGACATGATGAGCCAAAAGGATGGCTCCATGATCCTTGGCCAAATCTTGTAGCTGATCTTCTGGTGCCACTACTACACATGATTGCCCTTCCACAGCCTTGAAACCTCCGGCTGAAGCCAATTTTTGAACTGAGTCTCCAATCTTCTCGACGCACCATATCGAGTCTATGAGAAGTGAGACCAAAGAAGCGACACGAACAACTTCTATAGCGTTTGAGTCTTCAAATCTCCATTCTTCCAAATGGGACTTGAGATTATCAGCTGCAACTTTTGCTCTCTCCATGTGGGGTTTGACAGTGAGAGGTGGATCCATTTTCTTCATTGCCAATGACAATTCTCGTAAACTTCTACCTGATTCGCTGCATATCTTCAAGCATTCGTCTTGAAATTGATCTTGGATTTGTGATAATGGTATCTGCAAAAGAAAATATAGTCTCATTAGATATATGTTTTGTTCCATTGTTTATTAATGAGATGAGAAGCAATTGAATTAATAGAATAATCTTGGTTAAATTTTAGGCTTAACCCATCTAAATTTTTAAAGCGGTAAAAACTCTGAAATTTCAGGTTAGAGCTAGTCTAATTAAGTCTCTATGTTATATTTAAGAAGTTCCTTTATCTAATATGTTAAAGTTGTACCATATAAGTGATTAAAAGTTAACTATTTTGCATAGTTAATTACGTCATATATAAAATTAAAAGCTTAAAAATGTATTAGAAACTTTTTAAAGTACAAAGACAAACTTATATAATTGAACCTACAACAATAATCTTACTTGAATTAGGTTGGTTTTAAGGTAACCATTAAGAACTTCAAGCCGATAGGCGCAGTCCCGATTTAAATTTCCAATTTCCAAGTATTGCCTCCAAGGATGGCGATATCTGAACTTCCAATGGCGTGGCTCCCATCTTGCTAGGTTAGTCTGTCCAGTCACGCAATAGTACTAAAAAAACGTATTTTTGGGGATATAGACAGAGAGATTAAGGGATTGTTTAGTAATATTTTTGTTTCTCTTTACCATTTCTGAGTCATTTCCCAAAAAGTAAATAAAATTTAGTATTATGTGTGAAAATATACAAATAAATAATCAACTTTGTCGTATTCCATCCACTTAAGTTTCTTGGTTCAATAGTGATTTATGAGTAGGTGAGAATGAACGAGGAAGAAAAAAGATTATATTATCAAACAGCCTCCAAACATGTCAATCTACTCACCAATGATTCTTCATTCGATTTCGAGTTCAGAATCAATCTATACATTTGGATGTCACCATGGCTGGCCTGTCCTTGTCCTAGCAATCCAAAATATTGATCACCAAAGCCTGACATATCCAACATAATGATCAAGTTAAGAAAATTACAAAGACATTTATATGTTTTCTTTAAGGATATGAGAATTATTGTACCTTGTAAGAAGGTGGCAAGGGAATCAATGTTGGTGGCAACCAAATGGTGGAGATCGGAGCCAGCCCAAACAGGACGCACAAAAATACATACAAAGAGAGTGAAAGAGCAGCCAATGAGAATTGTCAAAACTCTATCACGTGCAAGTTTTACAATCTCATCATCTCTGTATCCCGAAACTGAGACCATGCAGAATGTCAAAATGAATATGAGCATCCCATAATCATATCTTGCCTTCATCTTTGGGAAGAATCTTATGAATGTTGATATTGCAGCTGCATATACATTTTCAAACCTCAAGACGTGGTAATAATTTTTCATTACGAGCAAATGTTTGAGAGGATAGAGACAACTACATATGTTTACCTGGTATGAACACAAAGAAACCAAGCACTATTGGTCGGCCCTTCTCTCCGACCAAGTTCGCCAAGTAATGAGCTCCAAACCCTAGAGCCCCAGCTGCGAGTGTCGCCATAACTCTATTCAAACCACGCCCCAACGTCCCTCCTGTTTGATATTTAAAACATGTCACAGTTAAGAATATGAATAAAAGATTAAATCTACCGTAACTTATTGACATAAACTTCTCTGTGTTCAAACCTCGTAATATTTGTTAAGGATCACACGGTGAAAAGAAAAGAGACCTTGCATATATTTATAATATATATGGATTACTCCTCTTAGTCAATTGATTTCGAGATGTAACCTACTATGAATATAGATAATATTAACCAATTAATATTAATACCAACATAAACTTTTGAGTTTAGTGGTGCACCTACCCACAGAAAACTCAAAGACGACGATAACCGAGATGAGGGCCCACATCGTAGAGGCTCCAAACCCGTCATACAAAGGCCTGAAATAGTAAAACAAAGATACCAAAGTGATGGCTAATCCCACTTTCAGAGAGTGAACTACCCTCCTCGGGTCGTCCCTCGCCAGCCTTTTCGTTGCGGTTGCTAGCTCGACCGCCATGGCCGGGAGCTTCCCCGACATGGCCTTCACCCACAAGAAGCAGCAAGGCAGTAACCCTTCAAACCCATTAGAGGTTTTTTGAGATGCCATTGATGGAGCTTTGTATGTGTGCAAAAATGGCTTTCACTCTCTCTGTTTTATAGAGTGTCAGTGGTCCGCGTAAAGAGAAATAGTTGCATGTGAACACTTGAAAAGAAATATCAGAGCTATGTTGTGTCTTTCATTTTGGCATTTAAGAGAGTACTCTCTGACTTGAATTCTGGATTATTGTGCTACCAATTGATAAACAAAATTCAAACTTTTTCGAACAGATCGCTGTTTTTGAATAGCATACTTAAAACGTGTTACTCAATTTCTGAGTTTGGTAAAATAATTGAGTCTGAGTTGTAACATTTTAATATGATACAACTCTCATTTTATAGGGCGGCTCTAGATGGTACGGGACCTTAATCAAAACTTTGATTGGGAGGCCTTAATATATAAAATATGATTTAAAATTTATTTTTCTTAATTTTTGAGATGCAAAATTATATATTAAATTTTGATAATATAAATTTATTGATATATCATGAACAATATATGACCAATCCATTTAATGACATAGTTAACCTTAAATACGATTAATTTTAATTTTAAAAAGCTTCTTTCAGCACAAACAACGGTTGTCGGTATTGTTAATAATATTTTATAACCAATATACGCCTTTGGAAAAACATTTACATTTTTTATATAATTTAATATTTTTTTAATAGGATAGTCAATTTCATTTTGGAAGACTTCTCTTAGTATTTTTAATTTAAAAAATAAATTTAAACCACTAATATTAGAAAATGTATCATCTTTTAATGTATTTTCAAGATTAATACAATATCTTTTCAAATTATGATCATCTAACGACTTTAAAATTTTCATATCAAATAATATGTTAAAAGATATTTTCATATACGTGAAATTGTTCAAATATATTTGAAGTGAAGAAACTGTTTAATCTATAATATAGTAAAAATAATCAATTCTAAAAGAATCTAGCGTCGTGTCTCTTCAATATCAACATTCTCATCAATTTTTTTAATCGCTCTTTTACACAAAATATTGGTTGTATTTCCATAACAACAATTTCCTTAGCTAAAATCATAGTGTTGTGAATCCATTTTCTTTACACTTTCTCTTAGTTTTTTTTGCATGATTAGATGCTTCATTTTCCACAAGCATATCATTATCTACTATTTGTTTTCATCTCTTGATTTGTCTATACCTATAATTTCTTCTATTATTTCATCATTCTATTACTTTTACTTTCAATAACAAATTTATTGATAGCACTTTTTTTTTATATTCAATAATTTTTTCTACTCTTATTTTCTTTTAAGCCTTTTCATATCCAGATTCATATTTTTTTGACATATTGACATTCTAAGTAAGCAAATTTAAACAAATCTCAAATATTAGGTTTTAAGCAATCAACAATATGAAATAATTTATAAACAAATGTAAAAGAATTTGAATGAAAAACTTGGAACTTTGAAGCCACTAGGTTGAGTTGAGTAAATAAGAAACTTTGATTTTTAATTTGAGATTTCAGAGAGAGGGCAAGAGTTCAACTTAAAATTAGTGTGACCTGATTATGAGAGCTTATATTAATGGGTTGAGATTTTTAAGGAAATTTGAAAGAAACATGAACAAATAGATTAAGGTTAACAAATTTGAAAGGTAAGTCAATCAAAATTGAGAGTCTATTAATTGTGGATTATTTTTAGTATTGTGTATTTTCAATATTATAAAAAAATATGAAAAGTAATAAGTAAATTATATTATATTTTAAATGTAATTTCTAATTAAGAACTAATTTCAATATTATATATTATAGTAAAAATATGAGGTTTTCCTAGAAAGGGGCTTAAGATGGTCGCCTCACTCGCCTATAGTGGCCCTGATATCAAGTAGCTATGGTTAGCATACTTATTTAAGGATAATATGCTGTCTAGCAGCATTAAAAATTAGAAAATTTTAACTTCATAATATACATTTTATGCATTTTAAAAAATTTTGACTTTTATTTTTTAGGCTAAATTACAAAAATATCTCAAACTTTGCCATTTATTTTAAAAATACTTCATTTCTTCCGTTTCAATGTTGCTCTTCCCCTTTTTCATAGCCATTTCAAAAATATACTTTGAACAAACGTTCATTAATATTTTGAGTGGAAAATTGACGTGGCAAAATATAGAATGAAGTGACAATAAATGTGAAACTTACTCGGAACAATTAGCTGCCGCTACAATAAGTTTGACTTTTAATGAGGGTAAAAAAATTTAAGAAACACAATCGACAACATGAAATATCAAATTTGTATAATAATAACTAACTGTTCCACATAAGCTTCCACGTCGTTCTAAATTTTGCCACGTCAAAACACTAATTTCTTCATTAAATTCACTGTCTTTTGAACGCTTTTTTATTTTTAAAAATTTGATGTTGGCGATTAAAAAGTCTCTATTATAAACGACTAGAGGAATGAAAAAAAAAATGAAGCGTTTTAAAAAATAGTAAAAAATATTATATATTGTGATAATGACGAACCGACGGTTATCCTAAAATCTTCAATTTTATTTTGGACAAATCTAATCCTAAAACGAAAACGTCTTACCGTTGAGAAATGTTTTCAACAACATAGTAGCTAACAGTCAACTATATAAAATGCAAATTAAATAAAATAACTTAAAAGAGTACACCCTGGATATTTTCAAATAAACTCAACAAATAAGAGTTTATTTGAATTTGATTCTCAACAATTTGAAATCCGAAAAAATATCAAATACATATTTAGATCTAAGTCAGCAGCCTTGAGATGGAACGATTTACGAACAACTAAAAATTGGTTTAAAGATTGTTTACCACAAGGAAGTTATAAATGAATTATGGATAAATAACTGTTGGGTTTTGACAAAATATTGGAATTAAAGTTGTCCCATTGGAAGAATACAAGGATGATCTCCATGTGCTAGAAGTTGTCCCACATTGGAAAAGTACAAGGAGGAGATGTGTTTCAACTATTATAAAAGGAGCTCGTGGGCTTGGGTTTTAATCATCCCAATTGAAATACTTTAAGCTGATATACTAGCTCTAGTTAACTGAGCGGTATTTGCTTTGAAAGAGTGTTTTGTGTAATTGGGGTCGGGGAGAGAAATCTGTGTGATTGTAATAATTTTTCACATAGTGGATTTTCCCTTGTGGGTCGTGGTTTTTTCTCCGGTTTGGAGTTTTTCCACGTTAATTCTTGTGTTTCTTTATTTTATTGATTTCTTTAAATTTCTCAGTTATTTTTTGCTTATTCCTGTGGTAGAAGTAGATGATTTTTTCCCAACAAGTGGTATCAGAGCTTTAGGTTTGTAGTTTCTAGAATTTCTGAGTATGCTCTGTGGTTGCAGCATTGTCTGAACTTCCACATCAGAAAAGATTTCTTGAAACGAGCTACGGTTCTGTGAATAGTGTGGATTGTTCACTGTTTGCAGATTTGCTAGGAGTGTGAAGCAGATATGTCATTCTTTATGAGTCCAATGAAGATTGACGTGGAGAAATTTGACGGAAGGATCAACTTTGGCTTGTGGCAAGTGCAGTCAAGGATGTGCTGATACAATCTGGGTTACACAAGGCGTTGAAGGGAAGACCGAGTGAAGGTACTTCTGAAAAGCTAAGCGGTGACGGTGGTCCAATGGAGTCCAGTGGTGGTTCCAGCAGAGGTTCTAAGAAGTCTAGCACAAGTGATGAAGATTGGGAGGAAATGGATTTGAGAGCTGCAAGCGCGATACGAACAAGTTTGGCTAAGAATATTCTTGCGAATATGCATGGAATTTCGACAGCCAAAGAACTTTGGGAGAAGCTCGAAGCGTTGTATCAGGCAAAAGGCATCTCAAATCGGCTATACCTGAAGGAGCAGTTTCACACGCTGCGAATGGAGGAAGGTATGAAAATTTCAGATCATCTGAGTAATCTCAATAGCATCATCTTTGAGCTGGAGGCGATCGAAGTGAAGATAGATGACGAAGATAAAACACTCAGGCTCATCTTATCACTTCCACCTTCTTATGAACACATGAAGCCGATCTTGATGTATGGGAAGGATACTTTGAATTTTGCTGAGGTTACTAGTAAACTCTTATCAGAGGAAAGAAGACTGAAGAGTGAAGGGCGTACTTCACATGAAGATTCGGCACTGGTAGCTAGCAATTGGAAGAAGAAGAAAGACTTCGTACAAAAGAAAGCTTATTGCTGAGGATGCGCATAGTCTGGACACATGAAGAAAGATTATCCCAACAGAGCCGGTTCGTCAAAGGGCTTTGGGCGGGATGCTGACAATGTTTCTCTCATCAGGGGAGACGATGATCAGTTCCTTTGAAGAGAGAAAGAATTCATCCTCATGGTATGTCCGTTTTACCATGATAGAGGATGTGATGTTAGCGGTTCCACAAGTTTACACATGGGTATTGACTTGGCGGTCATGCAAGGTGTGTGTGGTGGAAGTTATGTGGATGGCTGAAGAACTTCCAAGTGAGCCAAGTAGGTGGAAGTTGCACCATAAATCTCAGCAGGATTTATCGACATGTGACGAGGAAAAAACTCTTGGAAGGCGACATTCCAAGTAATCGACATCGGAAAAGTACAAGGAGAATATGTGTTTCAACTACTATAAAAGGAGCTCATGGGCTTGGGTTTTAATCATACCAATTGAAATACTTTAAGCCTGATATACTAACTCTAGTTAACTGAGCGGTATTTGCTTTGAAAGAGTGTTTTGTGTAATTGGAGTCGGGGAGAGAAATCTGTGTGATTGTAATAATTTTTCACATAGTGGATTTTCCCTTGTGGACCGTGGTTTTTTCTCCAATTTGGAGTTTTTCCACGTTAATTCTTGTGTTTCTTTATTTTATTGATTTCTTTAAATATCTCAGTTATTTTCTGCTTATTCCTGTGGTAGAAGTAGGAGATTTTTTCCCAACAATAACTGCGGGCCAAGATGAAGGCGTAGGGAGGCGGGTGGAGAAATCGCGAAGGAGAGGAGGGTTTGAGAAGAAGAAAAGAAAATGAGGAAG